GGCTTATTTAGTTCAAATCCTGGGGCATTAAGGGATACACCACATCCTGTTGTGGCACACCATATGGCAAAGTTTAACTGGTTCTGCCAAAATTGCATCAGATTGTGAAACCATTTTATCGCTAGTTGCCGTGACCCTGTATTTTTCAAAGATATCAGGGAATTTAACAAAAAAAATTAGCACTAGAGGCACTTACTAAAATCAACTGATTAGTAATGTAAGTTGATTTCATATTTAAGTTCTGATATAGTATCATTGTATATTTAATGTGTATGTCACACTCCCGGGAATAACAAATGGTCAGTCTATTCAACTGCTTCATACTATCGATAACTAGGCTGGTCAACTTGAAGTCGCTATCTGCGATGTAACGTATTACCCACGGTGGACCAATATAAGTGCTGCGAGATATAATAATGAGATATGGATAAATGGAGACGTGCACACTTTATCTGATGTGTATTACAGCGTATGCTCACTCAATGATGAAATTTTTAAGCCTTCAGGAGCTAGCCTCACACAAAATGAGTCAGATGGGATGCTGATTTTAAGTGCTGGAGAAAAGGTCATAATTCTTTACGAGAACTTAGCAGACAGACTTGGATTTCTTAGACTAAAAGTTATAATACGACCCAACAAAACAGTGCATGGAGTTAAATTACCCGATTTAGTTCCCTATAAAGAGTTGTGCATCCATCTTGATCAAATCAGTACAACGGATAATATTCAACTAGAAAGTCCTTCTACTCTGTTGCGAGCTATTCCAGTCAAAGATGAAAAATACAATAGCGGTAGAACGGAATCTTTCTCAACATTACAAGATAAAAAATTAAAGCAGGGTATTATCTCAGACCTCAAAAATTTTGTATTAGATTTAAAACACCAACCTGTACATATAGGATACTTGAGTGTAACGCTCCATATTATAAATAATGGTTGATTCATCAGGCCCTGGAACACTCAGACAATGTAATACAATTGCGCTCTCCGATCTCGGAGACACAGGAGGATTCGGTAAACTCTGTACCGATGGCAAGTTGTACGCTTTACACTTACAAGATAATACAAGCGGAAAGAAGTTGCATTCACAGGTAATCTAGGAGATTTAAGTGATGTTCACGTTAGTAGACTCAATAAAAACACTTCGTATAATCTTACTCGCAACGATGATAATAAATGGACTATGATTGAAGCAAAAATCGAGTGGCTACTTAATATCATCATTAACCCACCGTATGTGATAATGGGTAAGGCACATAATTTAACTAAGATAATAAATAGTGGGATCATACTCGGGGCTTATATCCCATCAAAACGAAAAAGTGTGTTAGTCTCTCCCCTGCCAGAAAACCCAGGTCATATGTTATTGAGTTGTCCGGCAGTAAAAAACGTTAGTTTAAATTTGGTTACTGAATTCAATGATATTAAAGATAACTTGAGTGCAATACCTGATCTTTCTACGCTTATTATTGAAGTCTTGTTTGGAGATGCACCGGTAGATGCCATTGAAATATTACCAGGTCTATCGATTAAATGGCTTAAGAAACATGAGCGTCAACGTTGCAGTATTATTTATATGGGAGCATCACCCGTTGCAACCAGGGGTCCGGAAAATTTAAAATCCCAATCGGACATTTGCATTTAGGCCACGCCCCCTTCAAATAGCGTATTTTAGTACGACTTTTCACACACATTACAAGTTTACGTATTCATAACATGATGAATTATGAATTGTTTCAATTTAAATTATTTAATTCACCGGACAATTAATAACAAATAATGTCATTTTAGATTTACATGGTAAACATACGTTTGTTTCTGTTATAATAACGATCTATTAACGTAGTGAACGGTCTAATTAATATTCATGAGTTATATTCATGAGTCTGCTCAAGTGTACGCGTTGTAACATTTGGATCGAGACTATTATCCCATATTTGGTTATCACGTGACCTCACGGGAAAAGTTTTTTTTTAAACTAAAGATTTTTTTAAAAACAAGTCAGATAATTTAATCACAAATACTAAAATATCGTTGATAGCAATAGTTATTTGAATACTTTTTTCATCTGTACTTAATTATTGACCATAAAAAAATTGAATATCGATCGTCCGAGAAAGCAAAATGGCGGTCAATCAAGATTCAATATACGACTAGCTACTGAAAAAAATAAAATCTGCAAATCCTCATTGTATGTCAACCAAGTGAAAGCCGTTAGCCACGACTTACAAAATGATCGTCCAGACTTTGAGGGTTTGGCAGATCCGCTCGACTGATCTGCATCGGTCGACTGGCTGTCGTCACGCTTTCGCTTCTTGTCTAAGGTTACGTATCGTAGCATTGTGAGGATAATGAGGTACATTGATGATGCAAGGTATTAATGTACAGTTGTAAACACCTTTCACTCAAATTAACAAGATGTTATCAGTAATTAATCCTCGATTAATCAGTGTCAACTCAGTTTATTGCCTATTACAGTGATTGACCGATTGGACTATCATGTAGGTACGATGTATTTACAGCAATCAAAACAAACAAAGCTTGTCAGTGTAGTTAATCTTCATTGTGTTGCAACTGCAGACAGAAACTGCTCAGTCCTAACTGTTGATCATGTCCGGTCAAAATTTAAGAATGTCCGGACAATACTTTTTAAAATGTCCGGTAAGCAATATTTTAAAACGGACATTTGAGATTCCCAATCGGACATGTCCGGCGCATATGACGGTTTCCGAACCCCTGGTTGCAACCCAACATTTCTCTTACTAAGATATTTATGCCGTATAATATACATTTACTAAGGTTGATGTATACTCTCAAAACATTGACGCAAGACCAATTAAAGACAATTATATGATATAATAATATACACTATGAGTTTATATCTGGCGCTCGATGAAAAGATGGATACTGTTGATGGATTTCGATTACATCAAATAAGTGACATAAAACATTGAATAGAGAAGGATAGGGAGTTGAGACTTGGATTGTATAAAAAGTATCGCAGAGCCGTGAATGCTCTCGACGGAGTTGACACCGCGCTTGCAACAGCTGGCATGGGACTCGGTGTAGCCGGTGTTGGTTTATTATCAACTATAATCGCCGAACCTATCGTACTTGGCATGGAAATAGCGGCAGGGGTCTCAGGACTAGCAGGAATAGGGATAAAATTCATTTCTCGTAAGTTACAAAAGAAAGCATTAAAACATGATAATATTCGGATACTCGCTGAAGCAAAGTTGAACAGCATTGAGGATCATATTTCAACAGCACTGGCTGATTGTAAGATATTCGAGGAGGAGCTTTGTTTAGTGTTGTCAGAACTCACAAAATACAAAGCAATGAAGCAGGAGATTCGATCTAATTCTCATAAGACCAGTGGTATTAGCGAAGACGAGAAAAAAAGTTCATAGAACAGGGGAGACAAGTGCGTCAATTATTCTGTGCCAAAACCAAAGAACTGGTTGGAGATTAAAAATAGATTGTTTCCTATCGTTGGATCACATTTAAACGAATGCTTACATAAGTATATAATAATGGAAAATTACAAACCACCAAAGGAAGAACTCGAAAAAGCTATCGAAGCATTTATGCTCAGGGACAAAATTAACAAATGGAGAGAATTATCACAAGGTATATATTATATCAGTGATATCAAACCAACCAAATACGGTCATCAATTGTTTCTTTCCAATTACCAAGAAGAGTATATAGTCTGGTCTCCTAGTAAAATGAACGAAGAACTTAGTAAAAATGTTGAATATCACTTTGTTAAAAATAATGGTATATGTATGAATAAAAATAATAGAGAATATTTTCATTACAATTAAGTTTAATGTTATGACGATCGTTGAATCGCATCATCATTTTGACATAAAAAATTCCCTCTGTAGTGGTGGTATAGGTATATGAATCTGGCTTGAGTGGAAGTGGTCCAGAACCCCCATTACCTATACTACTCCTTGTATTGAGCATGACTCCATTGGCATTGTTCCTACATTTGTCATCCATTACGGGTTCATCATCTTGTACATCAGTATCTTCAGATAGACATAATGTCTCTACCAGACTAGACACTTGGACTTTATTACAGATGGCACTCAGCTATCCATGAACTCGTCCATCTTCCTTTGGTAATCTTGATAATGCGTCAGCATCCATGTTAGATTTCCCTGGCCTGTACATGATAGGAAATCGTAGTCGGTGTCCTGACGCATCCTACCGCAGTAGTTGTTAACCCATAGGTCAGTAGATTGCCTTCAAAATGGTTGGCCAATCTTCAAGATATCCTTGACGGATTTCCTGTCATAATCAGTGATATGTGATATATCCGATATAATGTATTCCTCTTGAAAAATTTGCATTTGGTTATATTCGTTTAATTCAATAATTGTGTATTTGTGGAGGAGAAAAATATGTTAGATATACTATTAAAAAGATAAGGGAGATTACTCTATTTTTCAAATGACCTAGGATGATCTGTAAAAACAGGGATCTACTTCGATTCTTCCTATGGCAATCCTCACCACCAGTGAATGTACATAAAAGCTTCCTTGGTGTGTATTCACACAAGGAGTTGTGGTACCGTGTTTACTTAACATAGACTGATTTTGTGTGCTTTTGTGTGGGTTCTTTCCAGGTACTTTATTTATCCAAATAAGTGCTTGTTAAAACCATATATTAGTTGATTGTTTTGTCGGAGATTATCCTTTTTGATAATAGTTACAATTATATTCCCCTTCTACACTGCTGTTTTCTGTAAGAGATCTGTAACATACAACAGAACAGAACAGAACAGAACAGATTGTCATGTCATTGTTTTCTGTCTTACAAGGAGGCCCTTACAAAGTTGGTCATGGGGGATTTATTGGAACAGGGCACTTAATGTTGTAAATACAGTCTAAATAATATCAGTAGCTCTGATTCATGTTGAAAGTTTTGCAAGATTACAAAATATAATGATGTATTACATAATCTTCCTACATGTGTAATTGTTTTGACAGGAGGAGAAGCTGAAGGTAATATACATTGCTGGTGATAGCTTGTGGACTCTTTTAGTGTTGTCTGCTTCACAACTGCTGCTTCATCTGTTTAAAGAGAGAAAATTTATTTCGATGTACTTAACAAATAGTTTCTCTCACTATCATAATGATCCATAAACATTTCTGTTGCTATGTTTTTAACCGTTTGTGTTGTCATAAATTTTTAAATGTATTCTATCCCACACCATGCGTTTCTTCTCCGACGATCCTATGTGGAACTGAGCTTGAACAAAGTTCCAGCTTCTCAAAACAATTCACCTGAACACATCCCAGCATCACCATTTTCACTACTCAAACAAATGGGTCACGAACGTAATCCCATGCATAGCGACCTACACAACCTGATCACATGCTTTCCCCTGCCACATCATTCTCTTTTGTCAGAGCAAACAGGCTAGAGGAGCTGTGATTCAGGAATGATTGGTTGGGCATAGGGCATGTGAGATAGGAGAAGTATATAAATATAAAATATTTTGGAAATTCCAAACTTATCCTATCTTACACTATCCATTTATCCCACGGTTCGAAGGTAGGGCGCAGATACCTTAGCCTCTATAGCGACCTGATCACATGCTTACCCCTCCCACATCATTCTCTTTCTCATCGGACCGCCGCCGTGGTCTAGTGGTAGAGCATCCGCCCGGAGAGCGGAAGATCCGGGGTTCAATCCCCGACCGCGTCATACCAAAAGACGTTAAAAGATGGTACTTGTTGTTACCCAGTCTGGCGCTCGGCATTAAGGGGCTAAAACAAGGACTGGTCGGCTCGGAGTCAGTATACTGTGTCTGAATGGGGTATTCATTTTAAACTGCGGCATGGTATCTCAATGTGCTAGCACTATAAATCGGCATCAGTCCGGACGAGTACAAGCAGCCAAATAAACACACACATGTACATGCACGTCGCTATATAAGTGCAATAATCTTGCACGTTAAACCCCATTTCACCTCACCTCACCTCTCCTCTTTCTCATCGCCACACTGTAGAAATCGCCACATTTTGGAATATTAGGTTCCTCCTCCTTTGTCATACACCTACCGCCCTGCATAAATTGCAGACATACTTTTTTCTTGGTGGACCCTCATGACCTTTTCTGTGACTGACATGGCCTTCGTTCAAAGGACTGTACCTGTTCCTTGTGTTCTGAACTCTCGGAGGAAGCCTTTAATATTTACCTATCTACTGCCATAAGCGTAATATTGATTGGTGGTCTAACCTAAGGCTTTCCTTGGCTAAGAAGCCAAGATGGCCATCTCTTTCACCTTAACAGCCATGAGACCACCTCTGATGTCAACCATACCATCCTTGTCTTTTATTTGTTAGTGTTCATTTGTTGTAGACAATGCATATCGGATAGCTTCTTTACTGACGACGTTCCCACCAAAATGAACCAGACGCCCGATCCTAGTGCACTCGTTACCTTGAAACGTTAGGACAACCTGCTCCCACAGACAGACACACAGTTATTTTAAGGAGAGTTGTCTATGCCAGTCTTGACGGTATCAATCGTTGACCCTCCCTGCATTCCAAGGCCATCAGTTACGATGTCCCAACTGTTACGGCTCAACAATCCGTTTCAGAAGTATCTGGGTCCCCTGTCTTTTTTTTACATTTGATGTTTGCATGATCTCTCTTCCGTTGTCCAGAGCTGCCGTTGTTCCTTCCTCTCCGTCCAGCTTTACTGGTGCTCCTTCATAGATGGTAAGAAATAAGGTTTCCACTGTTACTAGGAGAATGGGTTCGCCTCTACTTAGGATCGACAATGTGAGGATCAGTCTTGCACTTCTTCCAAGAGTCACCATTTTGAAAAAATTCGATCACACGATTGGCAATCTAAGTATTGTTCTCCTGAGGATCTAAGGATCAATCATCTAACAATCACTAACCTCGGGATTGGCTGTCTAGGAATCGATGCTCTCACAAGGACACTGTTGATTTTTCTCAAACCACTCTTGTTCAACGTGACTCAGAAGATGGTTCCTGTACAGACATGGTCAAACGTTCTTCTACTTCGGGTTGCTCCAAGTCCTCACTGATCGACATCGTCAACGGGTTTGTTCCTGCTCCTACAATTATCATCATCGACCAGACTTGTGCACTTGGGATCGGTACAGTGATTATGCAGACCACCACATGCCTGGGAGAGCTACCCCTCGCATTTGAAATCGTATCCTCCTTGGCTATAATTATCCTTATGCTTTGTCCTATCCAGACTTGACTCCTGACTCATGCACTGATTATACCACTCTCTTTATCAGAATAAACCCTTTGATTATCATCACTGTGAAGAGCCTCTACGTTCCTCTCCTTCTTGTAGATGTTTGTCTCTGTCAGTTGCTTGTATGAATCACCGTTCTCCAAGTCGCTCCCGATCTTCATCACCATTTACGGTTCCTCCTACCCCGTCTGTGCCGACCCCTCCTGTCAAGCTCTCTTTCAGCCACGCAGCTGCTATCTACCTCATGGGACACCAGGCTTACAATCTGGTGCCAAACCTAGAATCGTGCGTGCAGTCAGTGATCTCTGCCCTCCAGAATATTTCTGCCTACTGGTGGTACCTCCTCTTGCTAATTCAAATGGATCCCACACAGGCTGTTCCTCTTAGTTCAGCTGTCCCTGTTCCTCCAGATGTTAATTCTGCACCGATTGGTATCAATGTGGATCATCATAGGAGGTGAAATCGACACCCCTCTCCTCAGGCTTGACATCAACATCGGGCCAAATGTTATATCTTTTAATGATGTCAGCAATTTTACCAACTCACTGAGATGGATTAATTACCTGCCTACTGTGGATTGGCGTTTTGAGGCTTCATTGAAGATTTCTGTACTCTCATCAACAAAGAAACCATAGAGGACAGGCTGTATCCGTTTTCATTCTTCACAGCTGATTTTTCCACCTGATCAACGCCCACGGCCCTTGTGCGTGAGGATACACGGTCGCCTTCTGCAGTTGTCCTGTGTTCAGCTGACCATCAACATACTGTGTGTTCAAGACCAGTTATTCTCTTGCTTTGATGTTTATAGAAGAATTAACAGGATCTTCTTGACTTGCCAACTTATCAATGAACAAGATCGGGAATTTTACCCCTCTCAAGATAGACATTATCAGGAGACTGAAGATCGACTGAAACTTGCGCCACATTCTTACTGGTGCGATCAACAGAAATTTGATTTTTTCGACTTATTTACTTGCTTCAGATATTATAGTAATCAACTTGCTAAGGCACCGGTCACGTGTCTACAGGGACCTTGCTGCACGTGCACCATTATCCCTTCAGAACTCGGGTCACTTTGTCCCCAGGACACAGTCGCTGTCAAATCGATGGTGATGATTCCAATCTCACCTGGGTCATTCATTCAAATTCGTCATCTACCACTAACAAGGATCAACGTAGCCAGGATCAAATGCGAGATCCTGATAGGTATTGACTTTTTAAAGATCTTGTGCGGAAGCTACTGATTTATCATGGACCACTACTGCTCCTCGTTGATTGCCATCTTTCGGTGGATAGATAGTCAACTTGGTATTGCTCCCTGTCTTTTCAGCATGCTATCCTCGATTATCTCTAAAAGCAGTATATCCAAATGTTATTTTTTTTTCTTAAGCTCGGTTTTAAACAGTTTTTCCATGACATTGTGTGACCATGGCACGAAGGCGATTATCAAACGCCACAAGATGGCAAATAATCGGCATGCATAACGCAGGAATGTCATGTATTCCTTTGGTCGGAATTTTGGGTATCATCAGGCTGTCGTAAGTCGTTTAGTCGAGAAACATGCTCAGACCAGTGATGTACAGGAACGTCCCAGATCCAGAAGACTTCCTGTGACGACACATCGTGAAGACAGGGGGACCTTCTTCGTCTCATACGCCGAGAACCCTTTTTAACAAGTACTCGTCTGAAACAGCTGTGGTTGCCCAATCGTCGTTTCAGAACCAGAACTGTCAGGAACCGGCTGAGAGCAGCAGGACTCAGGGCTAGACGAGTCATAAAGCATCCCTTGTTGAGTGATCACCACAAAGCAGCTCTTTTAGCATGGTGTATTGCAATATAGAACTGGAATCTGAGAACTTGGAGACTGATCCATTGGTCAGACGAAAGTCGCTTTCTGCTCCACGTCACTGATGGAAGAATGAGAGTTTAGAGGCACCTGAACACGGCCTACACCCCCAGGAAGATTAAACCGACTGTTGCATACGTGGGGGGCTCGGTAATGGTTTGGGGGTGTATCTCTCATGATTGCAGGTTGGATTTGGTCACTATAAGGGGCAACTTAACAGGGGCTCAGTACATCCGGGACGTTTTGAGGCCAGTCACTGTTCCTCATTTTGACACCTATCCTCTTGCTACTCGACCTCAGTACATGGATGACAATGCCAGTCCTCATCGTTAACATGCAGTCGTGGATTACATGAGGGCCAATGCAATAATGACTCTACCCTGGCCAGCAATGAGCCCAGATTTGAACTCCCTTGAACATGTTTGGGATATTCTGGGGCGACGCATACAGGCACGAGATCCTCCTGTACAAGATTTACACCAATTGGAAGCAGCATTGCATCAGGAGTGGTTGTTGTTGACCCATCAACAGATCCAACGTCTGACTGGAGGCATGAGACATAGGGTGGAATGCGTCATCCAGGCAAGTGGCAGTTATACCCGCTATGGATCTGTTTCATGTGTCATGTCATGGAGAGACTTTAAGGAACATTTTCACATGAAACATTAAACCTAACCCGTTTACTTAATCCTGCAGCTCCATACTTTTTGGGGTATTGCCTAAGGTCAAAAACTACCTGTGTTACCATGATGTTTTTGTCTGTAAATTTCAATCACAACTCACCAATATCTTCTTTATTTGTTGTCAAATGTTTGTTCTATCCCATGACATTGGTATCTCCCAGCTCCTGTGGTCAGTCATCCCATGCCATGATTTTTACCATTTGTCATGGTTCAGAAATAGGGGTGTGCT